GCTGGGTGAGGGGCTGTGCTGAGTGAGGGGCTGTGCTGGGTGAGGGGCTGTGCTGAGTGAGGGGCTGTGCTGGGTGAGGGGCTGTGCTGGGTGAGGGGCTGTGCTGGGTGGGTGCTCCTGGCTGGCTCTGAGGAGGAGGGGATGCCCTTACTCCCTGCTCTGACTCTGCACCCAGCGTGCAGGCTCCCATACAGGGCACCCCACACCCCCCAGCAGCCAGTCAGGGTCACACCTGGGGACAGGGGTCCTGCCCACTCTGGAGGACACTCCCCAAGTCCAGCCGTGGGGCCATGGGGCTGTGAGTAGGTGACCAAATGGCCCTGTGTGCCAGCAACATCCAAGTGATGTTGCTGACCCCCAGGACATGTCCCTGTGGATAAGATGGCCCTGGGCTGTCCCGGCTGCCCTTCTGCACCCATCCCTGGGAAGGGGCACCCAGCACAAGCCACCCAGTCTGTCTCTGCACCCACCAGGGATTTCCCTTGGGACACATCCAGGACATGACTCTGGGGACCCTGTGCAGGAACAGGGACTGTGGCACATGGCAGTGGCGGTGCCAACCCAGCTCACTGTGGTACTGAAAGCCTCAGCCATTCCGGGGGACTGTGGTGCTGCCTGGGCCTCTCAAGGGGTCTGTCTCAGCCCCATCAGGCTCCATCCCCAAGGCTTGGCCCTTCCCGGGAGGAGAAGCAGACTCTGTGTGGGGCAGGGCTGAGCCGCAGGAGGGTCCCACCAGGCTGCCCCTGTCCCCACTCTGCCTGCACAACAGCTGATGGAGATGCTGCGATGCTCCAGCTCACCCCTCCTGGCACTGCCTCCACAGCCAAGGGCACCCCAAGGTCATCTGCCTGCACAAGCAGCTCTGAGATGGAACAAGGAGGGAGACAGGGAGCAGTGGAGCCTCTCACCCCCACAGCCAGACTCACTGTGATTCCAGCCATCCAGGGCAGCCCAAAGCCATCCCATTGCTCACCACACCCCACAGTCCAGTGTCTGGTAGCAGAAGTTGGTGACTTGTCACCTCTGGCCACCAAGCAATGGGTTACAGTCCCCAGGAGGGGACCATACTGAGCCAGCACCAGGCACCCTGCTCACAAGCACAGGGCAGCCCCCAAAGGTCACCCCACATGCCCAAGCAGGAGCACCACAGGGACAGAGGCAAGCACAGGCACCCCTTGGTGTGTCCCCTCCAACTGTACCATGTGCCTCCAGGCCACGTCCAGGGAGCACTGGCCCCCAGGATGGGTGTGAAGCCATGGGTTGTGCTCTGTCCTGCAACAAGGTGACATGACTACAGTTACCCCAGGAGGGTCAGAGCAGCACTGTCAGGAGGCAAAAAACCTCCTGCTGTTCTGGGACAACACAAATGCTGGAGTTATTTATTTTCTCCTGTGCTGAAACAGGAAACCTCCAACGTGCTGAAACCCTGGACCCTGGCCAGAGCCAGGGGCACCTCAACAGAGCACAGTGTGAGCAGGATGCAGCTGGCAGGAAAATACAAGCCCTGGGTGTGCTGGGTTGTGCCCACCTGGCAGATGCCCCTGGCCCTGGCAGGTGGGGGGATGGAGGCTGATAGGAGTGCTGGAAGGAGGGGACCCCCCTCAGCAGCACACTCTGCTCCACGGTGCCACCCATTGGCAACAACACCTCAGTGCCCAGTTCTCACTGACCTGACCCAGCCTGTCCCACCAGCACTGCCAGCTGGACACAGGATGTCCCTGCAGTGCCAGACACAGAGAGGAAGCTCAGACACACTGGTTTACACACTGGTGTAAACTGGGAGAGCACTTTTGACAGCAGCAGGATTTGCCTCATGCACCACATGCCTTTCTCAACCCCTTGGGAACCCCCAGCTCAAGATGCACACTCCCTGCATGCTGGGGCAGCAGCCCAGCCTGGGGACTCACTGGCCCCCAGCAACCCCAGCTGGCCCAGCACCACCAGCACTGCAGGGGCTACACCACCAGGCCAGTGGGGAAGCACCTTTTGAGACAGCAGGGACACAACCCACCCAGCCGTATGGGCTGTGCTCTCTGTGCTCCCCCACCAGCTGAACAGGCCGGGGCGAAACCTCCCGGCTCAGGCACGAGTCCCCGCGCAGGAACCTACCCCGTGGTGATGTCCTCGTCCTCCGTCAGCGTCTTCCCCATCAGGTCACTGTCGCTCATGTAGCCCGACTTCAGCTCCACGTCGTCCGTGTCCAGCGCCTCGACCAGCTCCAGGCGGGAGATGTGGCTCAGCTTGCTGGGGCTGCGCATGGGCATGGTGTGCGAGTAGTGCGCCCGCTCGCCGTGCGGGTACCAGCCCGGGGTGCCCTCGGGCCGGCACGTCCCGCCCACGGACGGCGCGTCCCCCGCCTGCAGGCGCGGGCTCGACTGCCCGTAGCGCCCTGCAAGAACGGGGGTTAGGGCAGGGTGGGCAGCCAGGGTCTGTGCCCCTCAGCCCCAAAAGCAGGGCTGCAGGAGCTCAGGAAACAAAACTGCCCATTTCATCAGAGAAGGCAGTGACAGGACCAGGGGTGATGGTTTTGAACTGAGAGAGGGGAGATTTAGGTGAGACATTAGGTAGAAATTCTTCACTCTGAGGGTGCTGAGGAACTGGGATGGGTTGCCCAGGGAAGTTGCTGATGCCCCATCCCTGAAGGGTTTTAAGGCCAGGTTGGATGAGGTTTTGTGCAACCTGATCTAGTGGTTGGGTTCCCTGCTCATGGCAGGGGGTTGGAACTTGATGATCTTTAAGGTCCTTCCAACCTTAATGATTCTATGATTCTACAATTTCGAGGCAGCCAGGCGAGGCCAGAGGTTCCCAGCAGTGTGGGTGCAGGGACACCAGCCATGTACCCTTGTGGTCAAGAAGGCCAGTGGCATCCTGGGGCGCATTAAGAAGAGTGTGGCCAGAAGGTCAAAGGAGATTCTACTTCCCCTCTGTTCTGCCCTGGAGAACTGTTCTCAGTCCTGGGCTCCCCAGTTCATGACAAGGAGCTATTGGAGAGAGTCCAGCAAATAATTTCAGAGATGCTGAGGAGACTGGAGCATCTGCCTGTGAGGAAAGGCTGGGAGAGCTGGGGCTGTTTAGCTGGAGAGGACGAGACTGAGGGGGGATCTCATCAATGCTTAGAAGTGTCCACAAGGCAGGTGTCAAGAGGATGGGGCCAGACTCTTCTCTGTGGTTCCCAAACAAGCAACCAGATAAGGGGCAACAGGCACAAACTGGAACAAAGGAAGTTCCATCTGAACGTGGGGAAAAGATTCTTGACTTGGAAGGTTGACAGAGCACTGGAACAGCTTCCCAGAGAGAGGTGGTAGAGTCTCCTTCTCTGGAGATATTCAAAACCCATCTGGATACCATCCCATGCAACCTGCTCTAGGTGACCCTGCTGTAGCAGGGGGTTGGACCAGATGATGTCCAGAGATCCTTCCAACCCCCACCGTGATAGGATTCTATGATGCTGTCTGTCCTGCACCCCCTCCATCTCAGCTGGCAGGTCAGTCCCCTCCTGCCCTGCCAAGGTGCCAGCACAGCATCCCACACTGCAGGACCCACTGGGACATTCACCCCACCTGCACCCACTGGTGTCTGGGAGTGCCTGTGGAGCAGGATGTGGGAGTGATGGGGAGGTCTGTGCTACAGCCCCCATCACCCCTCCAAGGTGATGCTCCCCACACAGCAGCTTGGGCTGGATTCAACCACATGGTGGGAGAGGGGTCCACACCTCTCTGGGATACCAGCCCCAACCCCAGTCCTGCCAGGGAGCCTGTAGTGAAACGCCCTGACATGCTCTTCCTCAGCCATTTCCCCACCATCATTTCAACATCTGCAGTCCAGTCTCATACCAGACCCAGGATGGGATGAACTGGGGTGGTAGCACCCTGATCCCCGAGGATGTGCCTGTGAGCTGCACTGGGAAGCAAAAGGCTGGTGGGGGGCAACCCAGGGGCCGGGTTCCCTGCCATCAGCAACCTGCAGAGTGAGCCTCCATGTCTGGGCAGGAGGGGATGCCCCAGGACAGGGCTGCCCAACCCCCGGGGGCTGCCTGCAAGTGACCTGCTCTCCAGCCAGCCCAGAGCCCACGAATGCATCAGGAACAGGGAGTTCACCCACTCTCCACACCCCTTGGGGTGTATTTTGGGCAAACAGCATGTCGGGGAGTGATGCTGAGACTAAATTTAGACACCAAAAATGATTCCTTCTTGGAGCCACTACTTGGGAACCCACAGCCCTCAACTTGGCTCCAAACATTACTATTCCCTAGCTTGGATTAAACGGTCCTGCAGGAGCAGTAAAAGCCAAACCCCAGCTGCAACATTGAATTTAAACCAGGGAACTGCATAAAAAACCTAGGAAGTTTGTTAAAGCAGGACAAAAAGGGACTGCTAAAAGGGGTTTGTTTTTGTCGGCAGCACAAAGGCTGTTTAAGGATGTTCTGTTGGCAGCTCAGAGCAGATGGAAACCACATCTCCAGGCAGGACTTCAGCAAGGCCCCAAGGACAATCGTGTGGCCCTGTAGCCTGGTGCAAAGGCTGCCAGAATATGATGTGTTTCAGGAACAAAGTTGTGTACTAGTGAGAAGAGAGCAAAGAAGAAGTCCCCAGGCACTGGCTGGAAGAATAAAGGGAGGAGAACAAGAGAAATCTGCGGAACAGTTTGTGGAAGGAACAAAGGGAGAGCCTGAAGTGGCTACAGGGACACCGGTGACACAGGGCACATCCAGCAGACCACAGATGACATCCACGTCGGACATGCTTGCAGGAAGCATTCCCAAGAGCAGAATTAGTGGGTATGTGTGTAATTACAACATACCAGGGAAGAGCTGACACAGCTTTGGTAAAGGAAAATCCAGCTCACAGCCACGGTGGAGCTCCTGGAGAGCTGTAGGGAGCACACTGAGGCTGCTGAGGCTGCCAGGAGGTGGTGGGTAAGTGCCCTCACCAAAGGCAGACCAAGCTTCCAAACAGCTGCCATGGGATAAGAGGGAAGATCCTCATGAATTTAAGAACCCCTTATGGGACAGAACACAGGGGTAGGCCATCCCTGGGCTCTCTCTAGTCATTCTTCTCCATGGGAAGGACACAGCTGAGGTCTCTGGCACTCGATGCGGTTGTAACTCCTCCAGGAAAGGAAGTGATAGCAAAGAGTCAAACCCCACCAGCAACACTGGCTTCATTACCCTGCATATCCTCACCCTGTTTCCCACAGATCGGGGCTGATGGAGCCGAGTGCTGGGCTGAGAGGGCAGCAGGTGAGGTGTGACACAGATGAAGGCAAAGTGTGCCCAGCACCAGCCTGCAGATCAGCTCCTGCCAGGAGCAAAGGGACAGCAGAGCAGGGATGGATCATCCCAGGAGATCATCAGCTCAGGGAGTATTTCCATGTCCCCGTGCAAACCCCACTGCCCAGCACTCTGCTGCCCCCGGCTCCGAAAAGATCCAGAAAATGCAGCAAGGATGAGCAAGGTCTAGATGATCTTCTGGGTTAAGAAGATGTTAATCAAGCGACTGCTCCATCCCGGTGAAGCTGATCGCGGGGAGACCCGGAGAAGGTCTGGTATGAGCGGTGGGCGAAGGGGGGGAGAAGCTGCTGCTTTTTTCTCCCTTTCAACACAAAAATGAGGATCGAGAGAGACCGCGAGGGGGCAACAAACGGCAGGAGAAGGACGTTCGGCGCGTCCTCGGCTTTCCCGGCTGGCTGACAGTCCGCACAGCCTCCCCGCAAAGCCCAACGCGGCTGCAGCCCTGACTGGGAGCCGGAGGGTGCCCCGAGGTGATGTCCCCTCCCCACCCACTGCTGGCGGGGTCCCGGCTCTTCAGCCCCCGGGGCCGGGCAGGAGGCTGGAGCAGACCCCAGGCAGGTCTGCAGCAGAGCAGGAATCCTGCACTGGTCTCAAGAGAGAAACCTGAGGGGGCACAGGCAGCCCCAGGGATGTGGGACACATCTCCGAACGTGGGTGGACACTGCCATGGTTCACCCTGTCCCCAGCCCCACTCTGGGCAGGGTGCCCCACCTCTGCCCGTGGGCACTTGCTCAGCTCTGTCCGAGGGTTTCTCCATCACCACCTCTACACAGAGTAGAGAAACTGAGCCACAGATGGGAATGCAGCTTGTGGTGCAAACCCGGGCAGGTGAAGGGAACACCTTCAGCTCTGCTTGTCCATACATGGATACTTGGCTGGGAACAGACCTCACCCAGTGCCTGGGGTCTGGGGGTAACCAGCTCCCCTTGGTCCCACCACCCCCGATCCCCATTGCCTTGGGGCACACAAGGCAGTGCTGGGCCTGGAGCACTACCAGGAATAGGGCTCTGCTGCAGCCCCATGTGTGACACCCCACAGATTTGGGGGCATCTCTCCAAGCCCCCATGCACAGGGTCCCCAGGCCATGGAGCACAGCCAGCTCCCTCCAACACACGTGGCCCTCACCCAGAGCTGCTTCTCAGCCACCTCAGCCTCCCTTGGTGACTTGGGAAGGGCAGTGGTTGTAGGGAAGGGGTGGTGGGGGTCTGGCATCAGGCCTCACCTGTGAGACACTTGAGAGCCCCTCAGGCTGGACATGGTCTCCTCCAGGTTCTGACGAAGGTCCAGCACATTCTGCACTGTCCTCTTCCTCTGGGACTCGGGGTCTGCAGAGAGACAAGGCAGCAGCTGTAGAAGGATGAATGGCTCCTGCACCCCTCTCCGTCGCTGTGCCCCTCAGCTCCTTCCCACACCCCTCTGCCCCTGGCTGTGTCCCCCAGCTCTTGCTCTGCTTGCTGGGAAGCAACAGGGCAGGGCTGGCACCAGGCTGGAACTGAAATCCCACCCTCAAGAGTGCCTCAGCCAAGGTGGGGATGTCTGCTCCAGAAAGGATGAGCTGGACAGTGGCCAGTGGAGCCAGGGGGACCAAGTGGGGCCACAGGAGCCATGCAGGTGACAGAAGGTGACCCTGAAGGACTGTGACCCTGCTCCATGGGGCCACAAAAGAACACCTGCCATGGAAGAACAACCCCAAACCTGCCTCTGCATCCCCCAGGTCCCAGAGTTGCTCTGGCCTGGGGACACTGGCACTGCAGCAGCAGGTCTGAGGAGCTGCCAGGGAGCAGGGCCAGCTGAGCCCCCTCCTGCCTCTGCCCCAGAGCAGGAGCTGCTGCCACAGGCTGGAGCAGCCGGCAGGGCTGAGCCCCCCGGGGGGGGCCATGGGAACCCTCAAGCTCCAGCTTCCTGGGGGCTGCTCCGAGTGTACAGACCCACACCATGGGTGTGCACACACACACACACAGCCTGCACGTGTGCACACACCTACCTGCACCACAACCCCCTGTGCACACACATGCATACACACACATCCACACACGTGTGCATGCACACATGCACACAGCAGCATACAACTGCACATACCTGCACACACAAGCATGAGCACACCCACCCCCAGAGACACCCACACATATGCTGGCAGCCCAGAAACCAACCATGCCCTGGGCTGTGTCACCAGCAGCATGACCAGCAGGGCCAGGGAGGGGATTGTGTCCCCTCTGCTCTGGTGAGACCCCCCTGCAGGGCTGGGTCTGGTTTTGGGGTCCTCGACACAGAAGGGACATGGAGCTTTTGGAGTTTGTCCAGAGGAGGCCACGGAGATGATGGGAGGGCTGGAGCAGCTCTGCTCTGGAGCCAGGCTGGGAGAGTTGGGCTGTTCAGCCTGGAGAAGAGAAGGCTCCAGGGAGACCTTAGAGCACCTTCCAGTGCCTGAAGGGGCTCCAGGAAAGCTGGGGAGGGATTTGGGACAAGAACAGGGACTGTGAGGACCAAGGGAAATGGTTTAAGCTGAAAGCAGGGAGATTTAGATGAGATATTAGGAAGAAACCCTTTGCTGTGAGGGTGGTGAGACCCTGGAACAGGTTGCCCAGAGAACCCAAACTATTTGATGACTCTATGATACCCAGCCCCATGTGTGTCCAATCCCTCTTATCCAGTTCCCAGCACAAGGCTTAGCAGGAGGCAAGTCATGAACTCGTTATTAAATCTTAGTGGTGGGGCCTGCACAGAGTTCCCCAGAGCCCCAGATGGGGATGTGAAGGCAGCAAGGACAGAGGGATGGAGGACTGGAGCAGAGGGGGCTGCAGACATGGAGCTGGGGAGCAGAGGAGGCTTGAAGAGCCCTTGGTTTGGGGGGTGGCACCCACCCTGCTCTGTGGCTGGGGACAAGGGGGCCCTGTGTCCCTCCAGTGGGGCAGGTAGAGCCATGTGGCAGATCAAGGGCACCCTAAAGCTGCCAGGTCCTTCCCTTGAGCTGCCTGGAAAGGTGGATTTTCCATTGAAAAATGGCAGGGCAGAAACCCAAGGCCAAGTCCACTGCTGCCACACGTGCAGTCTGGAGGGTGATGGAAGGTTTGGGAGAAGCCCAAAGGGAAGAGCTTGTGTTCCCAGGTGGGTTCATGCGTGGAAGGACTTGTTCCCCTCAGCTCCTCCACCCTGGCCACATCCAGTGGGTGCCGTTCCCCCTGATCCCAGCTCCTGCAGCTGGAGAAGGCGGCACATGCACATCCCTGTGGGTGCAGCAGGATGAGATGGAAGAGCCTCCCTTGTGCCCTGGTGCTGCCAGCAGCTCCCACCCCCAGCTCCTCCCGGACACAGCTCCCTCCCAAAGCCCCCTGGCTGCCTCCCCCATGACCACCACAGCCATTCCCCTGGGCACAAAGCCTCCAAGGGGGCCTGGAGCTGCCTCCCCCTATCACAGTGGGGCTGTGACAGCTACCCCTGACCCCAGGAGTGCTGGGCTGAGCCCTCGCTGTGTCCCCAGCTGACCCCACAAAGGGGCTGGCACACAGGTGTCACCTTCCCCTGCACCCCACTGCTGATGAGGACCCCTGCAGCGAGGAGCCCCAAGACACTCAAGGCAGGAAGCAGCACCCAAAGGCTCAGTGCCTGGTGGAGGGGCTGGAAGGTGCCTCAGCCCCAGGGTTCCATGGCACTGGCACTGACCTGCATCCCCAGCTCCACCTGCAGTACCCTCAGCACCCACAGTTTGCTCTCCTGGCCCTCAGTTTTTGGGTGACTCCAGGCTCTGGAGTAGCCCCAGGTAAAGCAGCAGCTCCCACTTGGGAAAGGACCAGACTGGGACAGGAGGAGCTGCTTGCCCACCTCTGGCACACGTCCCACTGGCTGCACCACTGCCGGGGCTGGAACGGCACTGCCTGTCCCCTCTGTGCTGGGACAGGGCGGTGACACCCAGCCCCCGACAGCCTGTTTTCCACATGCAGCAAGGGGCTGGGGGCTGTCTTGGGGCTGGGGGCTGTCTCAGGGCTGGCTGAGCCAGAACGTGTGAGAGTTGAGCCGAAACCAGAGCCACTGGGAGAGGCTGGAGTGTGGGAACGGCAGGAACGCTGGATTCCTCCCCGCATCAATTTAGCAAGCTGCCCGCAGCCAGATGTTTCCAGCTGCCGGAGCAGGGAGCAGCAGGGACAGCTCAGCCTGTGCTGTGGAGGGGTCAGTTGGACACCCTGTCTCAGTCAGGCTCATTTCTCCAGCACCAACGGCTGGGATGTGTCCCACGGTGTCCCCTGCTCTGCTGAGGCTGCAGGCCTGGGGACGGGCTGTCCCCTGTGCCCTGGCTCCAGGCTGGTTCCCAGCTCCCTGCTGCTCCAGCCTGCTCTGTCCTCATGTCCTGAAGGGAAGGGGGATCTGCCTTTGGCCATGTGTGGCCGGGCTGGGGGAGCCCCAAGGCAGCCCCAAGGCTCAGCCACTTTCCCCCAGCCCTGTGCAGGAGGGCCACCAGTCTCCACTGCCTGAGTCACTATTCCCAGTGCTAGGCTGGGTCTAACCTGCCCTTGCAGGCAGGCATGCTTGGCCAGCTCTCCCAGCCCCTGCTGCTGCTCCTTTCTTAACATGGCACAAGGGGAAACTGAGGCAGGCCATCTAGCCCATCCCAAACCACCCCACGGTCTGCAGACACTCTCCCACACAGCCTCCACCATCTGTGTTCCCACCAGGCAAGGCTGCCTGCCCACCATGGTGCACACCAGCACGGTGACCTGGCACCACGGAGGTCTGACCCAAACCCACACGCTGCACATCACCCTTGTCTCCTGCCCTGCACCACTTGGGAAGCAGCAGGGGCCATGGCCAAGAGAAGGAGCATTGGCGAGGTGGGATGAGGGGCTGGAGGCAGCCAGGGAGGAAAACGAGGAGGAGGGAGCTGTGCTGCCAAGGGCACGTGTGGTGGGTCTGCCTGTGCCGGGCAGAGCCAGGAGCTCCAGGCTGTGCTCACATCCAACCCTTCCCATCGCCCCCAAGAGGGACTGGAGGCAGCTCCTCTGCCTGCGGGAAGGGGCGCAGCCGCAGCCGGGCGCTGCCGACGTGGCCAAGTACGTCAAGGAATGAGGAAATCATCGACTCCAAACGCCTTGTGACAGCTCATTTCAAAGGAGCATGTGGCCAACAGCTCCTGCTGGGGCCAGGCAGAGCCATGTCCATGGGACACGTGTGCCCCATGTGCCTTGGCACAGAAACCTGCGTGTGTGTGTGCGGGCCAAGTGCTCCTTTGCATCATACATGTGTTCACATGCAGGCCACGTGGTAGCCAGACCACTCTGCCTGCAGAAAGGTGCATGTGTGCTTGTGCACACCTGTGCCTGTGACCTTGCATGTGTGCCCACGTGCACGGGTGCAGACATGACGGCAGAGCAGCCAGCACCAGCACTAGTGTGCCAGGCTTGCCTGGATGCACCATCTGCACCCGTGTCCGTGTGTCCAGTGTGAGTGTGACACTCACACACGTTTTCCTGACCCTCACAACCCAACCGGTCTCATTTCAGGAGATCAGACTCATACAGGATGCCTGGTGACCCACTAAAGATGCTAATGGCAGTGGGAATTTGCTGTAAAAGGCCTGGTAGTGTTTGAGTCATCCTGCTGGGCCTCCATCACACAGTAGCTGCAACAAATTTCCCCAGGCCGTGAAACATTTTTAACTGGTTGCTCAATTCCTTCCAACGCATCAAAAAATACACTAATAAGCTCTGCAATAAAACCCACTCTCCCAGGGCCACGAGGCTCCCCCAGCCCCAAGCTCCCTGGCTCCACCAACCCTCCCTCTCCCACCCTGCTGCCTCAGCCCGTGCTCCCTCCTGCCTTTATGAATGAATCAGCCCCAGACATCTTTTTGCTGGGGTTTTCCTGGCAAACCCTCTGCTCTGGCACCCAGAGCCCCCCACAGCCAGGCTGCTGTCCCCAGGGGAGACCCAAGGCCCTGAGCCCCACGGGCTCCCAGCTCACACCCCGTGATTCTGCTGCCGGCGTCTTGGCGCAACCACGGCAGAGTCTTTCCATATGGAGTGAAATGGGTTTATCTTGCATTTCCTACATCCAGCTCTGATTCATGCTCCTGGACAGCTGGGAGAGGTGATAGTTGCGACCTGCAACCCTTCTCCTTGTGGCCTAATTTAATTCTCTTCCTCCCCCCCTACCAAACAGGCTGAATGAGCTGCAGAGATGGCTGATGGGGCTGTGTGGGGTGACTGCCAGGTCCACAGTGTTTGCTTCCACCACCAGCCCTGTTTTCCAGCCCATCCCTACAGTCCCTGTGTGCTACCCCAAAGGAGGTAACCAGGACCCCCAAACCCACCCACCTCTCTCAGGAGATGCCTCA